CCTAAGGCTTCATGTACACAAGCAGCTGCTAAACGGTTGCCGAATTTTGCCTCGATTTGCATTTTGCCGCGGCTGGCAGTCACGGTCGGCTCGTGTACATGAAGCCTTAGTGTTGAGATTGCATCACTGAAACTTTGGTGGTTTCTTCAGTGCATTAAACTCTTGCTTTATATAGTGCTCCCCTGGAAATATCCCAACTGTGCTTTCTCACTACTGGGTTACATTTTTGTTGACCTTCAAGTGCATCCTACTCTTGTACCATACATATATAGTATATATTGTGTGTGTGTATATATATATATATATATATATATATATATGCATATATATATATATATATAAAAACAAGATGTCTCTTGGTTTCCCTTTTCCCACCCAACAGTGAAGCATATCAAAGAGTACATTCTTTCAGGAAATGCATTAATTTAGAGATATGTTTAGAGATATGAGCTCATGAAAAGATAAAAATAACCACCACTGTAATCATGGTTTGAATACTTTCAAAGATATTTGAAAATAGAATCACATTAATTATAAATTAATTAAAAATACAAAATTAATAATTGAAGCATCAACCAATTAATAACAAGCTTAATGTGCATCTACAGCCAAATCTTTTATTTTACTTTCATAGTGAGGAAGTTGAAACCCTGTCAATGTCATGTCATGGGTCACCTTAGAGAAATACAATATCTTGATTTGTTTTGGTGATCATTGTCAATGGGACTAAAAATATGGGAGAAAACAAAACTCTGCTATGCCACCAGTACATGAATAAAGAATAAAACATTTGTGACAAACGTGTTTTATTATATGCACTGCATAGGTTTTATGCTTCATTTTAAAAGTTAACTGCTTTTGACTACTCTATATTGCTCAAAACCATAAACTGTTATTTTAGATTACATTTGCACCACTACCTGTGCAATGTCTGTCCAGAAACAAGCCAATTTTCCACTCACTTTTTGTCAGATGAATACAGGTGTTTTACTCATGCTATGGGTATATTTGTTGCATGGGTTCGTATGGAGTACAAAGATGGCGTCCATGCCGGATACTGCATCACCATGTCACTTACGCGTTGCGTCACGGCACACGTGACCCATAGCATGAGGTTAAAACGCCTGTATTCTTCTGACAAAAAGTGAGTGGAAAATTGGCTTGTTTCTGGATATATTTATACATTAAACAATATTACACTATGGAGGCTCTCTCTTCCATGTGTTTATTATGAGTCCTGTTGGAGTTGGCTGTATCACTCTTACCTAGAGGGGAACTTTGATCTGATGTTATACTGCTATCTGGAAGGATTCCATTAAAAGGGAAATCACACTTGGAGGATCCAAGGGTGATCCAAAAGCTTTTTGGCCCACTGGGTCACGGTAAGGAGGTGAGGAGGCAATTCAGATATTATTGGATTTATCACCAGCGGCTGTAGTGCACATCCACAGCACCATTTGCATGTTTATTTGTGGAACACTGGGTTTACATGCACTATTTGTGTTGGACTTTTTTTCAAGTGTTGCGATTTATATGTCAACATAAGTTTTGCTGTATGATTCATTTATGTTTTTGAGGTATAAATTTTGGGATGAGATTGTGGGATGTTATAATATATATGTGATTTTTTGAAATTTGTTTCACTAAGCACTGTTCTCTTTATTTGAATGATTTATCCCCAGTGCTGGGATCACCTGTTTGTTTCACTGATTTTTCTATGATCAGTCACTGATCCTAATTAGGGATCCGGGTAGTTGTGAGCACATTCTTTGTATAAATATACCATATTGGGTATATTTTGAGATCACAATTTTTGGTTGTTTTATTCACTGTGTTTTGTTACTTTCAGATCCCAGGTGGGATCAGGGCACTATAGAGATATCACTTGTTATTATATATGATTGGTTGGGATTAGGTCATTATTTTGTTATTATTGCGTCATTATATATTTTATATATGAACGGTACACCATTTATTTATTTATCTCTATATATGAGCGCTACACCATTTATTTATTATTTAGTATCAATCACTTATAGGTAATAGGTGTGGGTGTTAGCTGCCATTATTTATTTGAATTGTTGTACACTTCTAAGTGCAGGAGGTATTTATTATATATTTTTAAGCACCAAATAGTGTTCCACCACTACACATAAATAGATAAAGTGAACAAATAGTGCTGCGCTATATAACTAACCCCTAAATCACTGTGCAAAAATAAATAAAGTACATAAAGGTGCCAAAACAGAACAATATGGTAAATAAGTAAACACCTGACAGAGCCTCAATCCAACACTGCCCAATTAGGGCATCAATCAATATGTCATAAAAACTATATGCCCTCTCCTACAAAAGAGGATGACCTAAGAACCATATGTGTAAAGTAACTATAAATGTATTATCATTAACTTATACCAGTGTTTCTCAACCTCTTTTCAGTCAAAGCACCCGTCATAATTTTAAAGGGTGCCTTGGGAATGTCTTTAATTTTAGATAGTCTTGAGGCACCTCATTCTAAAATGTGAAAAACTATTCTAGAGGTTTCATATAATGCAGCAACACCCACACACGGAGGATACCTAAAATTTGAGGGAATTCATTCTTCCAAAGTAAATACATTTTTGCACACTGGTACTGACTAGTATTCCAGGGTTTCTCTTCTCCCTCAGTCTTTCTCCATCACTGAGCCAATGTGACCCCAGCACTGATGGAGAGGGGCAGAGGAGGGTCAGACTAGGATGCTGTGCAGGCAGCTGACATCCTCCTTATCAACTGATGATGTCATTGGTTGTCAGGACTCTGACGGCTAGCAGGTCATAAGGGTGCACAATGAAAACCTGTGGCTTTGTGTAACTAAAAGTCAGGCTTTTTCCACCTGCTGGCTTGTATACAATTTTTGGGTAATTTGTAGACATTTTGCCAAGGCACCCCTGAGGAAACCTCAAGGCACCCCAGGGTGCCTGGGCACCCTGGTTGAGAAAGGCTGACTTATACAATGAACACCAGATCGCATTTCAGGTGCCATTTGTGGAAAAATCCAGAAAACTATTAGGGGCTGTCATCCTTTATTTTCTAACTTCAGTTAGGAGGACAGTAACAATAACAGCTGTCTAAGGGTTTTGTTGTTGCTGAGAAGGAAGTTGTGAATGGAAAGTGCATCATAAATAGTCAGAAGACCTTAAATTAGAAAAAAATACAAAAATATGTCTGGGTCACTGACACAGAAGTATAAAAGCAAGGACAGGTGTAATTCAATCTGGATACAACAAATACAAATCCACTAGAGTACCATCTTTATGTTTTGAAAGCATGATGTCCTATTAAAGTGCAGTTGAACCTTTATTGTTTAATAGAAATTTGCAGTCAGAATGTGTAAAAAGTAAAAAAAGTGTATTTTATTTCATTGTGTTGATGCTTTTCTATTCTATGAAACTGTTCTGTTCTGGCAAAATGCTCCAATCAACTATACTCATTGTCCCTGACTAGAAAGCACTAACCCATTAAAAAAAATCATTTAAAAAAAATCACATATTCTTTTTATGCAGACTGACTACTTTTTTTAAAAAATGTAAACTCAATCGGATTTAAAATATTTACGTCTGTGTGGAAAGAAAATGTGTTTGAAAATGTAGCTTTATTCTTATAACATGCAAAAAAAAATGTGCCTGCTTATTATGTGGGCCAATTTCTTGGAGCCATTTCTAAAAACACAAAGCAATCAGATTCATTGTTTGCACTGGAATAGTTTCCTTTGTCTCCATAGTAATTATGTATGAATCACACACTCTTCTGATGCTTGCTTTGTTGGATTTTAAGGATTATGTAAAAGTCGTGATATGAAAAAGATGTTACACATTAGTCACATGAGGTGCAGCAAAAACCTTTGTATGGCAAAAGCAAGAACCATAGGGATTAGGACAAGATTTAACTATATAATGATGACAACTAAATTCTTTCCTTTGTAAACATTTGTTTCCAGTCAGACTCCTTCCTCAAGTCCATTGGTAACTAGATAAGAAACAAGACACACAGTGATATTTTGAAAATGTATTGGAAGTGGGGTTCTGGTCAAGGGTCTTTTGCCTTCTGTCAACCCTATTCCATGTACTTTTCCACAAGGATGCTAGGCATGCACTTCTTCACTGCCAAATCCTGGGACTCTATTCATACCAGCAGAAACTAGCTGCATACATATTCATAGCCTCCAATTGGGCTGTAACCAGGGCTTGGAAGAAATCCTCACTCCGGTTCATGGAGGTGAAGGACATTCTGACCACCCTAATGATTCATGATAAGATAATCAGTATGCTCCATGATTCCAACTCCAAATGTTTCAATGTTTGGAACCCTTGGTGGTCATACACTCTTCTAGCCCTGCACCCAGCTAGTGTGGGTGGCCCTGGTCAACATGGTGTTCTTCAGCCTGCGGGAACCCTTCCTCTTTTCTTAAATCTGTTCTGTTATTCTTTCTTCCCCCTCTCCATCCTTTTCTCCCACCTGTCTCTACCTTGCCCCCCCTCCCTCATATACCCCCCCCCCATTTTTCTCCCCACCAGCACCCAGTCTGAGATCCTCCTACCCTTTGTGGATGGGGGTTCCCCCCTACCCCTCGTTTTACACCCAGCCCTGGGTCCAGTCATTTTTGATTACCCCCGGCTCTGTTGTTTGGGGGTAGATGGCTCACAGTCTTGTACATTCAAAATGTATGCATTGACTTTGTGATCATTTTTCTCTACTGCTCATACCACCGGTGTGGGAACATGTGTTACTCCTTTTCATTTTGACATGTTCCTATATTATTTAAAAACAATTATTGTACCTGAAAATGTATTTCACGTGATTATACTTTTAGATAATAGTGGAATCATGTAGATTAACTGCGTTTGTTCCATTTTCAGCAACACATACATGTTCTTACAGCCCTAGGAGTAATATTGTGCATTAATTCATACTGAGTGGCCACACTGTGTCCTGTTAGTTCTATACAGTAAAACACTCACCTCCACAAAATAGAAACATGGTAAGAGAGTCATGCTGTCCTTTGGAGGCCGAGGTTTGGTCTTCTCTTTAGAGGATATCATGGCACCCACTACGTGACTATTGAGATGTGGGGCCCGTTGATGCCTAAAGACATAAAGTACAGTTTGGGAATTTTTGCATGATGGAGGTGACAAGGGATTAGTCATTAGCATGCTCAAGGTGAAGATAGCAAAAGATCTTTCCAGATAAACATTCAAAGCTGCTAAGGAACCTTCGGTTACCAGATTTTTTTAGGGCACTAGCCAGATCTAGGCTGCTACCTCTTAGAGGTTTTCCTGAATGGGGCTTTTCAGTGGTTCCACAGGCTTTGACCAAGGAACCTTTGGAATCTGAAAGCTTAAGGCTCCGGTAACATTTTGTGCGACTCCAAAGCCGCACGATTTCCAGTGCGACTTTGGAGTGTCACTTGATGTGACATTGATGAAACGTTATACTCTCTGGCACTCAAGTTACATCAAAAAGTAGTGCAGGAACCTTTTCAAGGTCGCTGCGACTTTAAGTCACATAGATCCGAACAGGTGCCATTGAAAATGATAGGTTGTTACTTGTCATGTGACTTTGTATCGAAAGTCGCATGACAAGTTGGAGAATTGTGAATGGAGCCTAAAAGTTGTCACACAGATTAATCCTCTGGTCATTGAATTTGGCCCCCCAGATCAATGAGTTACAAACTTCGTCCATAAGGGAGCTTTTTCTGTCAGTCTCTCCAGACTGAACTATATTGAAGATGGAACCAGAGTTTCTGCCCATCATCGCTCTTCTACCAACACTCTCAGGACATTATTCTTCCTACATTTGTCCTAATCCAGTTTGCAATAGAAAAAACATTTTTCAGACCCTGAATAACTGGACAAGTGTGTTGTAATACCTGGAGGTAATCGAAACTTATAGAAAAACAAGTTTTCTCTATATGTGTTGTTCGCTGGTGTCAAGAAAAACCAAAGGCCTTCGAGGAATTCCATTGCCAGCTTTTTAATGATGGCTATTAGAGAATCATATAGCTTTATAAATCTGGATTCCCCACTAGGGGTTCATACACATTTCTCTGGAGCTTTGGCATCTACCTGGGCCCAGTGGGCTGGTGCCACCCTAGAATAGATTTGCAAGGCAGCGATTTTGTCAGTCTAAAGAATTTAGAAAAGCAGGTTTACTTACTGGATGCTCTGCTCCTGCAGGATTCTCTGTGCCGCTGCCCTACAGCAAGGTCAACATGGTCATCAAGACCAATGCAGGGTCCATAGCCCTGCATTGGATGTGAGGATGCTGAGGGATAGGCCAACCCCTTGATCATAGGGTAGTGCATTGTCTGTGGAGTGGAGGATCAGGTAAGCTTAACTGTCCCTCTAGACTAAACCAGCAGTTAACCCTTGCAGTGTAGGCACAGCCCCACTGCAAGGAAGAATTCTTAGGGTTTCTGGAGTTGGGCTTTAACTGAGGGGTTAAATAGATACACTTAAAACTTATTTTTTGTTGTTACTTTTTTTTCACTTTTTTTTATGTTTTGATTGGGTTGATTTACTTACAAAAAGTGTTCCCAGGCTTTGATTCACTTCAGAAGCCAATTTAGGCACCCCTGCAACACAGCACAATTTGACTGTCAAAATGACAGCCATTCATGGCAATTTCTGACAGCTTCAGAGAAGACAGTAAGAACAGGGTGCACCAGATACATCAAAGTAACTTTTTTGTGGATGGACCCAAGGTCCATGACTGGTTAAGGATCTGTCCACAAAGTGGAAATTTCCTGTAATTTATTCTGAAACAGATTAGTTTGTTGCACTTTGACAGTTTTAGTCTACAAGACTAAAAATCTTCTCTTTTCTTGCTGTTATGTGCTACGGCTCAGGCCGTGCTGCTCATTTAATGCCTCCCATGCTTTTTAGGTCACTAATCCAGAACAAAAATGCAACAAGGGAAGTCAGAACTTCTGATACTCTTACTTGTTCCTGGTCAGTAACTTAGTAAGTACTGATGATATGGGGTTAGCAAGACAGCCAGGTAGCTAGCATTTTCGGAAGAAGAGATTGGCTATGGCAGCTTACATAGTTACATAGTTAGTCTGGCTGAAAAAAGACAAAAGTCCATCCAGTTCAATCATAAAAAAAAAAAAGTTATAATCCTATACCCACAGTTGATCCAGATGAAGGCAAAAACCCAGCAAAGCATGATCCAATTTGCTTCTACAGGGGAAAAAAATTCCTTCCTGATCCCCCTGAGAGGCAATATACATATTCCTCTATTACAGGTTTCCTTTAAGATGATCATAGAAAAAAATGATTCTTCTGGATTTGGTTTGTCTGCCTCTCCATATATTACATACATATCTATATACATACCCAACCCTGTACATACAGTACATACCCAACCTCTCCATAAATTACATACATACCTAAAATACATACATACTCCACCTTTCCATACATTATATTCTGTATAAACATACCCTACCCCACACATGTCATATATACAGTACCCACCCCACCCCATACATTCCATAAATACTGAATATACCCCACCTTTCCATACATTACATACATAACCCGCCCCACTTCTCTATACATCATTTTCTCTGGGAAATAAATGATTATTTGGTAAGATAAGCAAACACAATAGATGCCTTTCTCTCCCCTCACTACCGTGGGCATAAACATGCATGCTTAGATGATCCAGTAATTCATCTTTATAAAAGATCTTTTGTTTAATCATGTGGCATGGCTGACCACAATTTGATTCACAGTGAGTTGAGGTAAGTAACAGTTGGTGTGTAAGGTGAGTTGACAGCGGTGCTTATATATGCACATGTTAATGCTTGATCGCATATACCAAGACCGTGTTATATGGCTGTTCTCTTCTCATCAAAACAGAAGTGATGGTGCCTAAGAATAGCATATAATGAGGACCTTTGCCCAGATCTGCCAAGATCTGCCTCACTGTGCTCACTCTTAAATTATCTCCCACTTGCCTATTTTTAATCTGCCTGGCAGAATTTGTAGGCTGGCACTAGACTCTTTCTTGAGGTTTTGCCAAGTGACAAAAACAGGGTTGAGCAGTCCAAAATAAGGATTACAGAATTCTGGAAGGACCAGTCGGGGTACTGGTTCTTCAGCAAACATGGACTTTTTTTGGCGGGTAAGGATCTTTTAAAAAGAGCTATCAAATTTAGTGCAAACAATCCAAAAGGTTTTTTTTATTTTCACTTCATCTTTGATGGTGGTATTGTACTGTCTCTCAGTGTAAATAAACTTTTTCTGTCTCATGACCCTTTGTAAAAGGCATACCTCACCCACCAAACGATTTAGAAATTGGTGAGTATTCACCAAATCCCATGCTTCTTGCTGACTGGAAGGCTATGGGTCTGACTCAGCAAGGAGTGTGTCTGACCTCTGAAGAGAGACCTCTGCTTCCACCCAGAGAGCAAGGGACCTTCTCCACAGCAGGCTGGCAGGGGACAGAATTTCTTTACTCTGTGACTACTTTAAGCCTTTGCTCACCTTTCATTTTATTGCACATCTGATATGGATGATTAGCTGATGATTTAGCTGATTTAATCTGTCATAAGAGTCAGTGACTTAAATAGTATTGAAGCCATAGGATCACCATTTCAGCCATGGAACTCCTACTTTCAGAAGATCTCAGCAGTGGTAACCCCCTTTTCCTTTAATTCAAAACCTTTCCCCTAGATCTGGAATGCAAATGGATTTTGAATTTCTCACATGGAGCAGTTTTATACCTGTTGTTACCATGTATTATTGTTATTTCACTATACAAGTCAACGTGAATGCTCGATAAATGCACCTCAAAGGGGAAACATTCTTCCCCGAAAGCATGCTAAAATGTGATGGTTATGTAACCACGTTTTATATACCTTAAAATTTCCTTAAAGCATCAGAGAATGTATTTACCATTATAATTATAGGTTTATCATAGCTAATGAATTCAGGGTATGGCATTTTTTATATCATTACATTGGAGTCTAGCTTGGACCAATGTAACTATGCATATACTATATCTGAGAGACCCCTCAGATGGAAATCACTAAAGTGGACACTGATCTCCACTAGCTTTGGGGTCATGTGCTGTGTGGCTGTTCTGCTGCACTATGAACAAAAAGGCCCTGATTTACTAAGAATAATGTCCAACAGCAGAAACTGAACATTCAGCCAGACCCCATTAAATCAATTAAGAGCTTTCGGTGGTCAAAAAAATGTCTAAGAGGCAGACTGAAAAACGTCTAGCACGCAGACTGAATTTCTTTTGTAAATCTCTGACCTGAGTAGACAAAATTGTAGGAGTAATGCTGGATAAGGTCCCTAGGCGGCGCACACGCGCGGACTTTGTCCCGTTCGCATTTATTTGTATGCCAGATGTTAAAACTCACAGGTGTTTCTTGCCTTTTTTTCTCCAAAAATGATCGGCCAACTAATGCATTTCCTAATGAATGTTACAAAGTTATATATCCTATTTTCGAATGTCATACATTTATAAACTTATATCTAAAATAATTTGAATTTTTAGTTCTAATTTCTGAATCTAAGTATATATCTTCATTCTCTTTAATCTACATTCCAGATTAAACTGTCTGTTACAGTGGCTTAGTGGTTAGCACTTGCAGCACTTTGGCTCATGGGTTCTAATCCCAGTCATGGTAGCACCTGTCTGGAGTTTGCATGCTTTCTCTGTTTAAACGAAAGAATTGCTGGCAATTAAAAAGAAAAAAAATGGCTTAGGGTCCCCCCCTCTATCCTTACCAAACCCTTCATGTCTGGTATGGTTTTTGAGGGAAACTCCCATGCCAAAAAAAAAAGCCATGGGTCCCCCCCAAAATCCATACCAGACCCTTATACAAGCATGCAGCCCGGCAGGTCAGGAAAGGGAGGGGGGATGAGCGAGCGCCTCCCCTTCTGAACCATACCAGCCCTCAATATGAGGGGGTGCTGTGGGGTGGGAGGGGCTCCCCCCAAAGCACCTTGTCCCCATGTTGATGGGGACATGGGCCTCTTCTCCACAACCCTGAGCTGTGGTTGTGGGGGTCTGCGGGTGG